GGGTCTCTCTCTGCCACCTAGGCTGGAGTGCAGTGGCATGATCATAGTTCACTGCGACCTCCAGCTCCTGGGCTCAAGGGATCCTCCTGCCTAAGCCATCCAAGTAGCTGGGACTACAGGTGGGTGCCACCATGCCTGGTGAATTTTTTTATTTTTTGTAAAGATGGAGTCTTGCTATGTGGCCCAGGCTGGTCTCCAACTCCTGTCTCGCCTTCCCAAAGTGCTGGGATTACAGGCATGAGCCACCATGCCCAGATGACAACACATTTTTAGATACAACACAAATCCCAAGTTGGGTAAATAAAAACAAATCGATGTCTAAGCATATCATAACAAAATGGTAAAACATCAAAAGCAAAAAGAAAATCTCAAAGCAACCAGCAAGAAGACAGGTGTGACTGCTCACTTCCCAGCAGCAACACTGGAAGGCAGTCTCCTGAAATATTCTCCCAGGTCTCTTCCCTTACTAAAGTGACAGTGATCCTGCCACAATCTCAGATCATGTCACTCCCTGCTTAAATCCCTCCCTCCAAGTGGCTCCCCAGCTCACTTGGAAAAATATTCAAAGTCTTTATGTGACTTTATTTTTTATGTTTAAATCTTTTATCCTCCTGGAATGTTTTCTGATGTAAAACATTTTCCCTCCAAAGGGTTAGCCAGTATCTCAACACCATTTCCTCAATAAGCTATGCTTCTACTTATCTGAAATACCACTAAATTGTTCATGGGAGGAGAATTCAGTTTTATATTTTGTTGCATGTGAGGTGCCCATGAGACACATGGGTGCAAATGCCCAGTATAATTTTAAAGACCTCGGGATGTGTCCTGTGGGAGAGAGCTGGGTTAGATGAGACAAGGGCATCATCTGAGACCCTGCAAGGATCTAAGGTCACCTAGAGAGGATGTGGAGTGAGAAGAGGCTGAGGAGGAACCCACAGCTCTTTCCAGCTCACCCTGAATGGCAGTGTTCTCCTGGTGCCTCCATCCCTGGGCGGCATCTTTTTTTTTTTTAGCAAATATATTAACATTTTTATTTTTTCCCTTTTCTCAAACAGATACTTTAGATCGCCTAAAGGCTGACCCCTCCACTGGGGGCTTGGGTCCTCTCTTTTTACGGGGCACCTCTTTACTTTGGTACAATGGACCCACAGTTTTATTTGGAACAATTTCAACGAGGTGTGAGTTAGAGTTGTTAGAGGGTCCCTTCCACTTCTTTGTTTTTAACCAGGGCAGGGACCTGAAAGAGGCAAACTCCTGCATAGCA